CTTAGATTATTCTGTCAGGGTCTTAGTGGAAAGAAAATTATAAAACTAGCAAAAATTTATGAGAGTTCAGAAAACTCCTGTAAGGTTTCACAAACCACTCAAAATTTTGCAAACCACCAAAATTCATGTGAAATTCGTAATAATTTTATATATGTCTAAGTACTCTAGGCTTAATGCAACTCATCCAATCCTCCCTTTCGTTTTGAACATTAAAATCTATTAACGCACCTCCTGAAAATTTCACTAGAGCAAATTAAAGAATAATCCCTGTTTGTGAAAAATGGAAAAGATTTCGTAAATGTTTGCTTAATGGCTGATGCTTGCTTGATGATTTTTACGCTTCTGAAGAGAAAGCAAAAATTCTTAATGCCATTATTATATGCTGGAAAAGGCATGGCCTTGATGAGTAGCCGCTCTGAAGGAAGAGGCACTTATCATTTGTCCATCCAAAAATTGTCTGAAAATTTTGGTAATAAGAGAATAAGACATAGCTTTGAAACTATCGCCTAATTTTTGGAATGAGTCATTCATATGTAATTTTTTTCTAGGATCCATTTACAACCGTTTTTTTTATAATTTAATACAGAATACAGCAATTAATACCGCCTGTTTTGTCATTCTTACCATTATTGTTTTTGATAATTAACTAATTATTTATTTACGCTGGTTAGTATACAAAGTTGAGCACTAATAATCGGGGCAGTGATTCATGCGGCGCTCCATAAATATACTTAATCAAAGCTCGGCATGTTCATACTGTCACCATATATGTTTATTCTTCGTAATCAATGGTATATAGTGATCTTTGTAAACTTAGGATGTGCAAGACGCCGTCGACATCCTAGGCATCTGATTAGCAATAACAACAAAGTTTCGATTTCAAAGATTTTACACTTTTTGTCTAATTGCATATCAGGTAAACTGTGAACAAGTAATTTTTTGGCAAAATAATGTATCTAGATTTTTAAGGTACATATTTAAATTAGTAAAAATACGTATTTTCTACACTTTTCAAGTGTTAAACTAAGCTGTTATCGATCAGATTCTAGGATTTTATTAAATAAATAACCTAAATTAACTTTTTAAAATCTTTTGAAGCTTCAGGCTAAGAGTCCGAGATTAAGCTCGAGGATTCCTTCCTTCAAAAACTGGGTAAATATTATGCAAACTATTTCCGATTATGCCAATTTTAAAAACTTGCTAAGCTAAGGAATCTTGAAAAGTATTTTATTTTTGTGATATTTTAAGTTTCTAATGCAGTAGTTCTCAATGAATTCAGTTGGGGGAAATATAGATAAGATTATTTTTAATGTAAGCTTGCGGTCCTCGTAGAAGTTCAATACACTTAAGTTATCGTTCACAGAAAAGAAAGTAGGCAACAGGGAAAAGAAAAATAAGCAGGCAGATTTACAGAGGCGAAAGTAAACGGCCTTAGAAGAGTTAGGCCTTTTTTATATATGTCTTAAGTACTAGAACCTCTGTATTTTAAGAGAAATGTCAACATGGAGGATTAGCGTTACACATTGCGAAAATAAAAATTTCGCAAAGAGGCAATCTGAACAGAAGAAAGATAGATTCGACAATCTGGTTAGAAATAGAAATGTTCAGCGATATTATTCATTTAGCTACCTGCGAATTTTAGTCTTTCGAAGATACCTTGTAAAAGCTAATTAGGCATTTCGCAGAAGGAAACAAGAGCAATCAGCAATACACTTCCAAGGTGCGAACTTCAAATCTGTAAACTACTAGCTGGAGCTGTTACTACTTATATCACGAATGAATGCAGTGGAAAAAGCGAAACTCCTTACATTCTCCTCCACTTAAAGGGCGACTGCGGATAGAGAAAAAGACCCAGGTGCCAAATCAGGGTGATGACGAATTATCATCTAACGCACTTTCAATTTGGAGTCATTTAAACGTTTTCGAAGATGCAGAAAGCGATAAATCAACTATGGTCTTGCCAGTATTTGAATTCTGGATCTTCCGATTCCTAACTGGTCATGTTGCAACAGGAGTTTTCCACTTCTCTACTGTCAGCCTACAGGCAGTGGAGAAGGCGAAAATTCCTTTTAATCTGAAAAAGACTGTGACTGATTGATTCGCTTTTACATTAAAAGTTGGCAAAATATAAGATAGGAGTTGTGTAGGGTATTTCAGAATGGTATAAAATAATGTATTTAACTTTCACACTCAGCTGGGTTTTGCAATACACCAATTAGTAACGACGTATCGGTTAGGAAACACTAGAAAGCTGGTAAATAGCGTTTAATGAAATTCCACGAAAAACAAAAAATATAACTACGGTACAAACCTTTTAAATGCGAAATTAGAAACTTTTGATATTAGAAACATCTGTAACCAAAACATATTATTTTTCGCATTAATCCCACATGTTGCAGGTAAAATTGCTAAATATACTCCGAAAATGCTTTTAATTTCTTGAATTGCAATAGTGAACAATTTGGATGAAATTCAACGATTTAAATTGGACTAAATTTTAAATTAAGAAATGTTCAGTTTATCTCATAACAAGAAAACGAGAATTAATCTCTTTTACTATTTTCTGCTCTCACTAATACCTCTTGCCCTAGATACAGTACACTAAGTTATATTAATTTTCAGAAGTTCTTTTGAATATATAGTAAATAACACTGACAGAGAATTTTTATTTCGCCCTGGGAAAAAAAAAAAAAAAAAAAAAAAAAAAACTTCATTTAATTTACATTTCGCTTACAATGCTTTTAAGTAATCGTTTTACTTTTCTTTCGATTAGTACAGTAAAATTAATCGTACGAAGCATAAAATATATATACCAGTACAGATAAAATCTTCATTTTAATGAAATAAAGTTTTCAGCTTTAATAATTTTAAAGCAGTTGAATGTAGCAAAAGTTTTACTTAATTAGCTTAAATACCCTAACGTATTCTGATCCACACATCAATTAGTTAAACGTTTATCTATATTAAACATAAAAAGAAAGACTTTCCATTTTTTTTACTTTTATTCATACAGAATATCATAATTCGTTTCATCGTGCATATTTTCAGGCACAATGGAATCTGTATCACAACCCTTGGATGACTACATTCCGAATGAAGATTTTGTTTGGTGCAAAAGGTCTCCTTTCAAGTAAAATTTTCTCTACGGATTAATTGGTTTCTCTTCCAATGAAATCTCCTGGGCTCAATACGCTTCAGATCTAGGAGTAACTCACATTAATTTATAAAATGAAATTTCAAAATTTGAGCAATATTTGACAAGTAATAATGATCCGGCAAGAATTTTGGGGGAAAGGAAGCTCAAAAAATAAAGTTCACATTCCGACCTACAAAGCGGCTTTGTAAGCAGCGGATAAAATTCATTGATTTTTCTAACTCAAGCTGATACTTTAGGAACTTATACTTACATAGCAAAGTGGCTTATACAGCAAAAAGTCAAAAAAGAAATACATACAGGAAAGCATAAAACACAAGTTCCATTGAGGTAAGTCACTGCATTATTAAATATAAACAAAGGCATTTGATATCTGCTTATATCGAAGTCAGAAATAATTAATAAGTTTTATTTCTAGTTTTTAATTAATTAAATTATTAGAAAATTTTTAAACTTTCCATCTGTCTCGTTATCTTTCCACCAACATAGACAGAAATCTCTTACTGCATGGTGTGTTCATTTATCGATATTTAACTGCATTTTTCATGTTAGAAGCGTTCATGACCTAGTCTTTTCGTACTCTATGTTACATTATTCTGCTAAAATCAGATCACTATTTTGAAACAAGATGCGACAATTATAGCTCTTCTTGCAAAGGTTATCTAGCCCGTCTGGAATTTGAATGCATACAATGGCTCTACGGGCAATATGGATCCGAAACACCCAAAAATATAACTACATACGTGCATATATAAAAAGCACTATGACTAGGGCTAAGGATAATTATTATCCTTCACGGTGTTTTGGAAAAATGAACAATTAAATTATCACATTTCTTCAAAGCTCAGAGGTTCATAGTTAAGAACAGCAACTAAAGAACTCAGAATTTCGGCACTCACATTTCTTGTAGAATATGAGGTCAGATGTTAATCCTATCATTATCGATATAATTCAATTTTTGAACTGTAGTAGAGTTTAGAGAAGCACAAACAGCATTCATTTTGCTACCAAAAAACTGTTCAATCATTTAATGATAACGCAATGCAACAAACTGACAGTTCTGCGATCTGTAGTCGTACCATGTTGCTTAATATTTGTAATCTACATTTATAGTAACAGATTTATATAATTTATATTTTTATAACATAGTCAAGTTATACACCGTTTGCAGAAAAATGAGTAATTTAAAATTAGTACATTCACTCAATCATACTGTTTAAACTTATAGTATTTGTAAAATTAATAAAAAATTTTTTATATTCTTTTTTATATATTATTTATATAATATACAAAAATTATATTATAAATATAAAATTATATTCCATAAGTATATATATTTTTATATATATATATTTTTATATATTATTTATATACACCTCTATATGGAATTTAATTTCCCAGTAAAAATGACGCACTGATTTCTTCCCCGCTCCCCCCCTCAGGTGGTCGTCATTCAGAGAAAAGGACGAAAGGAAATTTTATCTTTTAAATCTTTTGTAATTGTAATGTCTATCTAAATGCTGTAAAACAATAATGCAGTGTAAGTTTAAATATCTTTTTTACTGTTAGCACGATAATAGTTAAAAGAAAAGAATACGAAGAGGAACTGAAAGATAATATGGAAGGAAAATATGAAAACATATTTTACCAAAGTGGAAGCATAAAAAATAAATAAGGTAATCTACCGAAATTAATTATATTTCTAGTTTAAAAAATGTCCCATAGCCCGACAAGTTGTTATGTACAGTAAATATACTATTAATGTGTGCATTTAGAACAACAGTTGATTCTAAAAAATAAACAGTTTAGTGAATGGATTCTAGTATTTTTCAGTAAAACCACTTACTGGACCAGGAAGGCAGAATACAACGTTCAGCATTATTGTTAGGATGCAAGAAATGAATAGCAACATTTATAATGCTTTTAGATATAGAACTTAAGATAAAATTCTGTTACTTTATAATCACAGGAAAAACGACGAAACTGACTCGTTGATCTTGCAGGTTTCTAGTGGAAGAAAAATGGGGATCTATCCAAGTTTTATATACATTCGAATATCTGTCAGTTAGGATTCACCCACTCAGCTCTTGAAATCTGACCTACAACGACCAATCAGAGGAGAAAGCGCTTCTGCGCTTTAAACGCCCTTCGTGACGTCATGCGTGTTGAATGGTTATTATTTTTTTCTGTGTCTTTTCCCGAAGTTTTGAGTTTTTAAGACCTATGAATGTGAATTGAGATGTTGATTAAGAATCCGTGTTCGAAGAAACTGTGCAATTAGTTTTATGCCATTTCAAGCGGCATTTTATTTGATCTAAAGTAATTAAACTTTGATTGAAGAGTTGTTTTTAAATTACATGAATGATTCTACATTTCAAAGTTAGCATTTGATTTTAAAGCATTTAACGTGAGGAGACGAATCTACTGTTAATGTCAGCTGTTAACAGCAGAAAATGATATTTAAGGTATAATAAGGAATTTTTCAGAATTAGTGAAAGATATTAAAAGTATGTTATGAAATTACTAATGCGATTGAAGGATGAAATTATCATAATAATTTTCCAATATAATTTATTGGAATAATGATAACATACCGTATTTCTTAGATTCTATAAGGTTCTTTATTCTAAGACCAATCCTTCCGCACTATTGCAGCAACGATATATCTATTTATTAGTATTTTGCAAATATTTAATATTCCGGAATAATTATTGAAATTTTAAAACGTAACGGTTTGTAATACGTTGGAAAAAACCTGACTTTTAGTCTCGAAGAATGGGGTAATTCCATTGTAGTATTGGTTATCTTCTTGTGCAACGTAGATACGAGCCAGTTTTCCATTGAAAGCCTCCACGAAGTCGTCACTCTCTTAGGCAGGTAGCCCTCGTGTGTGTTGCCACAATTAAGTAAACAAAACCAGTGTAGTATAGTTTCCATTATCAAAATTGAATGAAAACCATTGCGGACTTACATAGTCTATTTTAATATATGTTAATTCGGATATCCGATTTTTAAATTTTAGGGGGGCGGAAGATTATGTCAAACAAGTTATTTTTTACTTAAGATCATTACATTATTTATTTTGACTGAACAAAAATCTCTTCTAAAGCATGAAATACATTGTAAGGTATTTGACATTCTTCGTGCCACATGCCTCGTGCCTTGTTCAGCTAGCAATCAGTAGGTCAGGAGTTCGATTCCCGGCAATGGCATTTCACTATTTTCATGCTTCCTGCTTCAACAGTCTTAATTATTTTAACCTTCAACAATCGTAATTACTCTTTACAATCCTAACGATTATTTTATTCAACAATCGTAAACTTGGCATTTAATAATATTCTATATTTAAATTAATATAATATTTCGTAGATTTTTATTTCATTCAGTAAACTTAGATATTATATTTACATCATTTATTAACAGCTATAAAGTGTTAACCATATATTAAAGCAATATTTTTATTAATCAAAATATTAAAAGCATTTAAAATGTCATTAATGTATGACCGAACGCATCAAATACTTGCAATGATTTCTTAGTGCAACTTATTGAAATAATGATCGCAGTGATGATTATATAGTTCCAATGCAGAACAATTTTAATAATTATTTTGAAGCCCCTTTAATCCAAGTAGCTGATTTCTTTTTTGATTTATTCCTTTCCTTGATTATTCCTTTTTGATTCCTTTGATTATTCCTTTTTGATTTATTTCTCCGCTCAAGCAACTGCAATTTCAACAACGTGAAAAGCTTTAGCGGTTGTAGGAATTTGAGCATTTTCAACCACTACCTCTGTTGTCACATTTCTTCTATCTGTTCCATTTCTATTCATATTGTAAAGCTGAAATCGATAGTGAGTAGTTAAGAGCTCAGGCTCAGTTTAGTCCATTTCGGTTCTTTGGCTCAAAAGCTGACGTTACCTGACTTATAGAACTGAAAGAAACGAACACACAGAGGGAGAAGGAAGCAGTGGCTTTGGAGCAAAGTATGTGTCAGCGACGTCACACGTTCAACGATTTCTCGTCGGAAGGAACAAACCTTGCAGTACAGTAACACTGGCTCAAAAGCCTTGCTATCACAAAGATTAAATGCTTAGTTGACACCAGTACGCTTCTATCCAGTTCACAATCCGTATGAAAATAATGAGAAACTGTTTTCGAATAGCCACGTCTTTTAAAAGGTTTAAAAGAAACACATAAATGTGAGATACATAAAAGAAAATATATACATAAATGTGCTGAAACACATTCATTTTCTGAAAAAACAAGTCATTTTCTGATTATTTCGGGAAGCTGGATTAACCAAGTTTGTTTATTGCAGGGTGTTTAAAAACAACTGTCTCAGGTCATCAGCGCAAAACAAAATGCCTTACTGAAAATACCAAAAGAAGGGAAGAGTACTTGGAATGAGAGCAGTGACAGCAAATGATGTCTTCCCAATGAATTGTGCTAAAAGACTCATATTCTAACCAACGTTTTTATACGCGAGTTTAAATTTAATGAGATTATTTAAGCACTCTTTCAAATATTGTTTTATAACATACATTAAAATATTGTTTCTTCTGTTTAGCTATTTGTAGCTTAAATATTTTGTTTTGATTTTTATGCTGGTGGAGCAGCTGGCTTGATCCGAGCTTCAAATCCCGAAGATGGCATGGATGATTATACGTGCAGTGTCTTGGCGATAAGGGAGCACATAAAATACTGTGCCGAAAGTTTGGTAAAGAAATTGGAAAAAGGAGAAGAGTGGTGATAGACTCGATCCTTTCCCTAAGGGACTCTCTTTCAAAACGGCATAGAATTGGCTAAATTCGCATTGTTACTTAGTAATCTATGTCTAGCTTATTTCAATGTCCTGCAGACCCTTTTACACTAGAAAGCAAGTTATCTCTTTTGTCTGAAGCAAATGACGAGTCGTAAGAAGGTTCAAATAACCTTTTAAATGAATAGAAGGCACAATGTGTGCCAAAGACGAACCTCAGCTTGCATGTGTTTTAAATAACATAAAATGAAGGTAACGTAGATAACGTAGTGTGAGACTAACACAAAATAGACTATTTAATAATCTGATTCAAGATAATTAAAGGCACGTATTTCAACTTAAAAATATGCAACTGCAATGCGAAGCTGCTAGAAGTTTTAAACATTCAAACCATCGACTTAAGTTCACAATAACTAATTTGCATTCTGGTGCGGACTACGGGAAGAAGTTATAGTAAAGGTTCAGCTCATACTAGTTAATTAGCGCAAAATCCTATAAAGCATCCAAACCAATAACAAGCGCAATTCTTGCTCCTTGGCCAGGATTAAATTGGTAGATTTGATCTAATGCTACTGAAAGACGAGTGAGATAAGTCACTAACAACACAACTTAACTTTTTAATTTTTAATGATGTTATGCATCCGTACATTGAAAATGTACTTTGGTTTTGGATGTTGATTTAATATACAACATAATCAAATGAAGTTTCTGTCCCAAAATTTTATTTTATTTCTAACCTCTTGATAATACAGGTAACGTGTTAATAATAGCACGTTTCTGTTAATTATGGTAAGGCTTATTCTTGTGTGTTTTTAGCTTTCTTTTGACTAACTACGAATTAGAGTTAACCATGGATGGCATCCATATTACTGCCTCGGTTAACTGGGAGTTACTCTGGACTGTATGCCAACTATAAAAATCTTTTGCAGAAATCTTATGTAACGGTTATCAATAAAATATAATGATGATACTAATGGAGTAAATAAACCTTAAAAAAGCTTAAATCTGCCCAGTCAGTACACTGTTGGATAGCACGCAGAATATTTTTAGACAATATGTAAGTTACTCTCTCACTGTTTTCCACATGCCTTCGGAAGTAATTGGAAGCATCTTCAACGCTTATTCGGGAGTTCGAATTCCGGAGAGGGCATTGTATATTTGTTCACGTGTTCAGCATCAAAAACCCTAATTACTCAACAAACATAAACTGCGCACTTTAGATAATAATTATTATTTAATTTATAAGGTGTTTCTCCCGCCTTCTTGGCATGCCTTCGTTCTGTGTTGATCTGCACGTTGGGCGCGTATTCCAGGGGTCCACGGTTCGATTCCCGGCGAAGGCCTTGCTAATTTTTCCTCTTGCCTGCTTCCAAAAATACCTAATGTCTCTACAACTTTACATCAATTTGATGATGATGGCTTTCTGCATGTTAAATGATTTCGATAATTTTTCCGAGAACTCAATTATTGTCCCTTTCATATTTTTAATACGCTTAACTCCTGATTTTCAACCATTAATATCGCCGTATTCCTGTTAAGTTTTCTAAAAGGCTAGCAATTTTTAATTTAATCTAATTTAGAGCACGTTTTTAATTTAAATCTGGAAAATCTTTCGTGTTTGAAAAATCATAAAGGGAATAACAAACTTCTCCGTCTAACTCAAAGTGGATCGATTAGGCGATATTACAATCTGCAGTAAAAGAGAAAAAATAGTTTAGGACAAAGTAAGAACAGGAATGGCAATCATACAGATTCTAAGAACCAAATTATAAGGGCTAGGGCAAGAATGTACACATGTGTCCTAGTTTCGAGAGATTTTTCAGAAGTTTCGACTATATGTCTATGAATTAGTTTTAGCCATTTCTGATAACATTAGATAATGCTTAATCTCAAAGTTTAACCTGTTCCAATTCATTGATTACACATAAAAATTAAAGTCAATCCTTCAACAGATGTTCCCGTGACTGCGTATTAAACTCGTAAACAAGGTTTCATTTATTTAGAATTTAACTTTTAATTAACAGTGTCAAAAAAATTAAGTAACTTATTCAGAACAAAAACAGCAGTTAAATGAAATTTCATCTGCGATAGACGAATACAGTAGTAGTCACCGAGAAACCACAAAACCGCAAAATTATTTTTATTTTTGTATTAATTATCTTTGGAAGTCTAATTACAAGAAGTTTTACCTCAGCTACACTATCAAATACGTGAAGCAAATTTACTACTATTTAGAAAATATCGCAGTCTTAAGATACTAACATTA